AAAACCGCAGGAATAAGACAGCCCAGAAGCTTTCTAGAAGCACAGCTTTATAGCCCAGAAAGTTATACAAAGAGGGTTATAGATAACAAAACTCTGACAATAACACAAAGGATAGTTTATATTTTTGCTGGCCCTGACATCAGAATTTATGAAGGTCATTAGAGCCTCAGAGAGGGTTGTTATCTGGTCAGAGAAAGCCAGGCATGGGTGAGTTCAAGGCATGGACAGGCATGTCAAGTAAGTTTAGAATTTGCAGTAATTTATAGTAAAGCCGAAATTAGCTTTTTATGCCTTTGTGGCAAGATGGCTCCCAATTTTATGAGGGAATCAGGCTGGGTTTATCAAAACAAGAGAAGTAAACAAATAAAAGTAATAGAAAACCAATCCAAATACACAATCCCCAAAACTCAAACCCTCAGAAGAAGACATAATTACATGAAAAAATGTTTGACAAGGAAAAAAAATAATTACATTGATAAATACTAAAAATGAGAGAAAAAGAGACAAGTGTTTGTATATATGTCCCTGAGCCAATCAGCACAGCCAGATTCACATACTCTCCCCATACCCAACACACACAGAAGAATAAATTAAAATAATGATTTTTTTTTAAAAATTAAAATTCAAAATCTGAAGGAAACTTCTCCACTGAAGTGGTGAAAATATTGAAGCCAGAATTAAAGAGAGGCAGTGTAGATAGATGATCAGGTGGGATTGAGAAAACACAGGCCAGTTTGAGTCCCAGTTTGAGACCAGCCCTGAGGAATTGAAATGTTGATGCCTTCAGAGCATTTTCTCCACCCTTATCTAGATAACCTGCCCCTGCTCAAATCTGTTGCTAAGGTTACCTGACCTAGGGATTGTCCCTCCCTATAGAGAGTTGTAAAAGTTGTTAATTAATGCACCCTGGGCCCCCTTTCTGCCAGGATCACACCACCTTGACCCCTCCAGTCCATCTGCTTCTCAGCTTTTCCCACTGAGCATTTCCTGGGCCTAGTCATGTAAGCAGGAAGGAAAGAGATAAGGGGGAAGAGAGCAGGAGACTAAAGGAAGCTTACGACATTTGAAAAGGCAGAACACCTCACTTCTTGTGATACCAGGATACTAGGATACCAGCTATGGGCCCCCCTCTCCCTCCCAGGAGAAATCTGTATTACCCCTTTTAAATAAACCCTGCTTTATATGCTTGCCTTGGCGTGCTTTAATGTTATACTTCAACACGTGAGGAAGCAGGACTCCTCACTGGTAACTGGCACTATCAATATTTGGCCAGTTTGGGTGGTCACTATCTATGTCCAATAGTCTTTCTTTCCAATTCCTCTTGATTTACATACTGATAGAGCAAGGGGTGGGGGTAGTTAACCCTTTCCTGTTTTTATGTTGCTTTCTGAATTACCAGTTGAAGAACTTCAAGTTTGAAGCTGCCGCAGTCTGGCTGGGCACAAATCACGAGCCACTGAAGCAGGAACAAACTTTATTTTTAAACTGCAGGAAAACACTTCACACAGCTCCCGGGGAATCCTCCCGAACGCGCCACGAGGCTTGTCCAGGAACCCCCAGCCGGAAATATCTCTCCCGGAAATCCCTCCTCCTGCACTTCCCCAACCAATGGGAACTCTCGGGGAATCCCCCGAAATCCCCACGAGAACTCCAAAATAGTGCGAGAACTCAAAAGTTGCGGCAGAGGCAGATAGTAATGCCTCGCCTGTCAATCAATACTGTTGGCAAAATGCCAGGGGCCATACAGACTCAGCCGTGGCTCTCAGCAGAAGCTGTTTGATATAAGATTCTGCTTCCCCTCTTACCAGGGCTGGGTTAGGGCACACTATCAGTGTTTAGAATTAAGATGTGGCTTATTTCTAATCAGGGGTTTTGTTGGGTGGGAGCTTCTTTGGAGAGACTAGATTGACCTGCCCCTAGGGATAGACAATAGCCAGTCTCTTCTGCTGGTCTGGTCCTCAGGAGCCTCCCAAGAAATCCAGTCCTGGAACAGAGGGGGCCTATCCTCCACCATTGCTGCCAAGGAACAACCTTCCCAGGCTTAGTCTGAGTGTATTCACCTCTGCCTTCTTAGACTCTTCCCTTGCTTTAGCTGGTCATAAGAGCCACCAAAAACACAAAGGAGAAGTGAGTTTGGCTCTCCTTAGCCCTTCTTTTACCTTTTTTCATCACCTAAATTATCTATTTTTCATTTTTTGATATTATTAACCAAATCGGAGTTTGTATCAAAGTTATTTAGGTTGATGAATAGAGAATACCTTAAGAATGAGGAGGTGTCTAGTTTATTTGATATTTCTAAGCCTGCTCAGAGAAACTACTTTTGATTTATTATGAAGAACTAGCTTATGTGTGTTGAGGGCCATCCGTGGGCTGTGTGTGGACTTTGTTGGCATTGCAGCCTAATGAATAGGGACCTCTGGTGTCTGAGAACTTGCAGTGGACATTTCCTCTGTGTAAGACTGCCTAGAGACATTGTGAATTCCTAGTCTGCTCTGCCATATCCCACACAGCACCCAAGATGGGGTGACCTGCTGTAGCTGCACAGCCTGAGATGGGTGTGACCAGCCAAGATGCCAATCAACCTACTGACTACAAGACATCAGGAAGCAAGATTCCGTCCTTGAAACCTTACCCCTGCCTTTGCTGTACCCTCTCAAATAAATCACTGGAGCCATTTTCCTTGTCTAGCTTCAGCTCCCATGTGGACCAAACCTATCAGGACTCTGCTTTTGAAAATGTCTTTCTCTTTGTCGTTTGTTCTTCACTAATTATTCTAGACTTTAATTTCTCAGGTGGCTTACACAGTCCTCGGCAGGAAGAAGAACCCCTAACAAGGCATTAGCTACCTCCTCATATAGGTGGTATTATAGAGGCCAAGAAATACCACAATCTATTTGTAAAAGCTTTAATTTCTTTTGTGAGCGTTTTGTAACAATTTTTTTTTTATTTTGAAAAAGTCCAATTCATAAATTTTCCCATTTATGGGATGATGATTTTGGTTTCAAATCTAAAAATTCCTTCCCTATTCCTATACCCTCCCAATTTTTCTCCTTGGTTCTTTAAAGTTTGACTTAGTCTTTGTGTTAAAGGCATGACACGTTAGCCAAGGTTCATTTTCCCCTCTGTGGATGGTCAATTTTTCCAGCATAATTTGTTGAAAAGGCTCTTTCCTTCTTGAGTTGTTCCTGTACCTCTGTGAAAATTGGTTGGAGTTACTGTATAGGTCTGTTGCTGGGTGTTCTGTTTGTTCCTTTAATCTATGAGTTTACTCCTCCATCCATACTACAGCGTTCTGACTCCTGTAGCTACAGGATGCTCTTGACATTAGGAAGACTGACTTCCATAACTTTATCCTTATTTGAAGACAAATCATTCACATGCAGAAAAATATTAAATAAACAAATGATACATATCACAAAAAAATTGAAAAAGGTCTTTGTTAGCATGTATTAGACTTCATAATTATTATTTAAATTTTTCACTCAAGAGCACTACCTGCTTCTACAGAAGCAGGACCAATTTTTATTCTGGAGATACACACCTGTAGATTTTGAAGAACTTACTGATAGAAGAGCAGTCCTGGGTGGAAATAAGACCAAATGTTCCCCACAATTTGGGTCAGAAGGAGGGATCTATCTATTGGTTAAGACAAAAGGGACTTTAAGCTAAAATGTACCCTGCTTAACTTAAACCGATACCAAAGAGAAGGAGGCATTGCTGGAGCCAGAGTCCTGTGCCCAGCTCTGCACAGCTCTGCCAGTCTGTCTATCTAGAGTTTGCTGGGCACACTGCATTCCCATGAGAGCACTCTGCCATTTCCCAATGTGTGTTGCTACTCTTTAGAGACTCTCTGTCATTTAGGCTGGCATATCTGGTGTCTGGAGTGAAATCTTTGGCGAGGTTCTCTGAGGGTACCTGGTCTCTGAGGGTCCTGGAGCTGAGTGTGGCTCTGACATTCGCCTCAGCCTTCTCCATTGCTGCACCTTGGTCTTTTGGGCTTGGTGAGTCTTATTTCAGGTCATGCTCTGCCCTCCTTCTGGTAAACCTGGTAGATGCTCCCTGTTGACTCCTTGGCATTGGCTTTAAATAAGGTAACCTTAAGAAAAAGACTTTGCCTCTCTTTGGGGGACAAAAGGTATCTTCTGTCTTTTATGACAAGCTCTCTCAGGTGCAAGGGCACCATCTGGGTGAGTACTCAGATTTCACAGAACTCACATTCTGAGTACGTCTTTGTCTTCTGGTGAGTTCTCTTTTGGTTCTGTGTGCCTAGTTCAATATATATATATAATTTGAATGCCTAATTGAAAAGTTTTCTTGTTTTTGTGAACACTTTAATTTTGGTTTCATTTTTGGTTAGTAATGTGCATCAACAATTGATTTAGCTTACTATTTTTCTCCCTACTTGTTTCTGAAAATCTTCTGAGAGCAAAAATAAGTATTCGAAATGGTGAACATGGGACATCAAATTAAGAGCCACTAAGGTCACCATCACCATCTATTAAAGACTGTACACTTTGAAGATAGTCTCCTGGTCACAGACAGGCATGGTTGACACTAGGGTACCTGCCAGGGACAAGACAATTTCCATGCAAGTAAAGAAAGTTTGGTCACAGATTGGACAAACTAAGGCAAAGGCTATCTGCCAAGTTAAAAAAACAAAGATCCTGTGCCCAGATATACCTGTCAAAGCAAAACATTGATGATTCTGTGACAGGACTTGAAGTACTTTTCTTTACTCTCCAGAGATTGATATGAAACAAAATGGGATCTCAAAATTTTAAAGCATATAAGGAAGATGTGAATACCTAATTGAAAGTGCCTCAAGTGGCTGTTCTTTGCATTCTTATGCAGGTATTGTTTTCAGTTTTAATTCATGGGAAAGGATAATTCTTACACTGCAACTATCGGGCAGACATGTAAAGGATGTTTAGCTCCTTGGACCGCTGCTCTGTGTTGGTCAGCATTTTGTCACTGTGATCAAAATACCTAACATGAGCAACTTAGAGAAGGGAAGATTTATTTTGGCTTCGGTTTTAGAGATTTCAGTCCATGGTGTGCTGGCTGCAAGGCAGACATGAGGCAGAGGGTGTGGTGGGGAAATCTGCTCAGCTCAAGGCAGCTGGGATGGGTGGAGAGACAGGAAGCACCCAGGGGAAGATATAAACCCCAAGGCCACACTGCCCCAGCCAGTAGTATTCACCACCTCCCAGTAGGTGGAGTCAAATTATAATCCACTAGAGAGATCCAGTCATTTGCCCTCTGAACATGCTACAATGCCTAACACATGAGCTTTTGGGGACACTCCAGATCTAAACCACAACATTCTCCCTTTATCTGACATCCTAAATTCTAAAGAAAAGCTGCACCTAAATGATCTAGATGTTACTGGCTAAATAATCTTTCTTCAGATTTACAGACCCCAGAACATGGGGTGCACTTTTGGATAACATCAGAATGTAGAACACCCTTTCTTATGCTGCAATCCTGAGCATCAACTAGCACACAATCCATAAACTGTTGAGATGTTTAACTTGCAGAAAAGTAACATATTTGTGTAAATAACTGAACAAACTAGCCTAAGGTGGTCAAGGTCAATTGTGGTGTCCTAGCCAGAAAGAATAAAAGAAAAAAAAAAAGAGAGAGAAGGAAAGACACACCACGGTGATGAAGACCCCATCCAACAGCCTTCCTGCCTGTTGTCCCACTGCTGCACCTCCTTTCCTACCCTATAAAAGCCCTGGGACATACCTAGGTTCTCTAAAATGGTCTTTTGGGGGCAGGTGCTGCCCTTGATGAAACCTGATTTCCTCTGCACCAATTCTCCTCTCCTAAATATTGGCTTTCAAGCAGTGAGCAGGTTAAGAATTGACTCCAATAATACCTCTCTCTTTTTTCTCTGTTTTATATTTTCTTTCCTTTTTTCTTCTATTAAAATAAATACAAATTGAAACACAAATCCACTTAAAAGTTTTTCTCTTGGCATTTCAGCTAAGATCGGAAAAGGAAAAAGAAAAAAAAAAAAAACTTCCAATGAATGGGTTTTGCCCAGTTGCATGGCATCCTAAACACCTAACAGTTATATTTTAAGTTTGCCTGGCTGATTATTGCTTAGGGTAATAAAATGGTTCTATCTGTCTTCATAACTACTCTTATGCCTTGGTCAAAATTTTCATGGACCTGGAAAAATTTTTAAAGTGCATGGATGTGGAGCAGGGAAGGAGTAGTTAGACACTGCCTGAGAATATGCAGGTGGTAGGAGACTCCCAAATATCCCTCCACTCCCCAGGGTCTTTAAAGATAGCCTTTTTATTAAACTTTTCCTTGGAGATTTGGTCAATCCATACAGAACTGACCCCAAATTCTACCTCTGCCATGATTATTCTCACATGAGGCTGTTGTATTAGTAATAGATGTCTTTTTGTAGCAAAACCCTCTCTTGGGGCCCAGAGCCAGGATATTCCTACCTCTAGGAGACAATCTATATGAGCAATAGCCTGCTCTTATTGAACAGATGCAGAAACTGAGGCTCTGGAAAGCAAACTCATTTGCTCAGTATCATAGAGCTTGAAAGTCACCATTTCTGACTACAGAACCTACTCTCCTAACTCAGTTGGCCCAATAGGGATAAGATGGGAATGGAAACAGACATGGAGGGAAGCCATCCCTATCCAGCTCCTATAGCCGCTGGGACATCACACCCTGCCTACCCTGAGTCTTGCACCAGAAATGCTGACAGGCTCATACTAAGATGGAAGTGGAGACACGTGAAGGGGGAGAGGCCATAAGGAGCACTGTGGGGCAGACAATGGACATTCTTTCTTCTTAACTTCCCTGGCTAGGAGCCTGAGGTCAGTGACAGAAGTTCTATCCCCTAGGGTCCCCAGAGAGTTGGTATGGAACTGAGTGTAGAACGAGGCCAGATACTCTGAGGGATGAGCAAGGCAGCACTCAGTGCCTCACACTCGGCTCACCTGGGAGGCCGCTTCCTGCCGGAGGATAGGCTACACCAGGGGGTATGGGGGGCAGGAGCCATATTTCCTCTCTGATTTGGGGTTTCCACAGGAATAATTTGACTTACCAGAAGACCTTATTTAAAAATAGTATTAAAAATTAAAATTTAGATTTTAAAATAAGAAAAAAAATCTCTGTTTTGACGAAGATGGAGCTCTAGATTTACCAGTTTCCTTTCCATACAGGTAAGGATTTTGCTTTAAGATCACATAGAGGGTGTGCTGCTACCTCTCCATCTAGGAAGCAGGATGTCTTTTTTTAGAGCTTAGAAGCCACATGGACTAACTGGCATTACATGATCCTTCAGAACTGTGGGGATTCCCTGGACAGTTCCCAAGTCCTCAGGGAACTACACTCTTTCCGTTACTTAGATGACACTTAGTTCTTTGAATTTCTCGGAGAAGCAGGCTCTGCTCCAGGCAAGCATCCCCTGACACTCACTCTGTTGTCCCATCCCTGGCTAACGCTGGTCTATGGCAACTGCAGAGCCTTGCAGAGGTGGCTCAATGGTGCCAACCTTCCGATTTGTGTGAGCAGAGCAGCAGCCAGAAGAGATGCTCTCTCAGAAATCTATGTGGAAAGGATAGTCTTTGTGGCTTTCAGTTCTGAAAAACAGAAAAGTGAATAAAAAATAGAAACAAAGAATTATTATTTTTAAGAGAAACATTTGAAATGACATAATTATGTATTTTTAATGTTCTAGGATATAAATTAGTCTTTGAGTTCATTTGGTGGCCCATTTTCAAACAAGGAAGAATTATGGTAAGAAGGGTTAATTAACCTAGAATTTATGTTGTAAGTAACTCTGAGTCAACCATCCAATTGGAATATTTCTCTGTTTATTTTACAAAGGAGTAAAAGAGGCATATTTACGTGGGGAATGTGGCCAATCGAAGGTTCCTGTTAAGACTCATGATTTCATCCATGTGATTCTCTGTTAATTCAAAATTGAACACCTGGAAATAAAATTTTTAAAGGATTTCAGCTCATTCATATTTAATTTGCATACTACTTACAAAGCACTGTAATACACCTGCAAGGGACAAGAGGATGGGAAAGAAATACTTCATCAGGACTCTGGAACTTGCCCTGCATCACAGCTGACCTGGCCGAAATGCACTTTGATTTGAATCCCTTGGTTGGAGTTGGCTTACCCTTGGCTACTTTAGGAAACCTTGAAAAGACAGGACACATGTTGCTTTTATCTTTTGGAAGTAAAGAACATATGGAAACAGTCAAAAGGTGCAGCAAAAAGTTTTTTCCATTGACCCACCTTCTCCCCTGCAAAAGACGAAGCCATTTGTTCCATATAACCCCACCAACTAGGGAGCCACCTGGCACTGAAACTGTTCACTATCAGCATCCGTGTCACAGAACCATTCTTCTGAGTAATCTTTTTTTGTTTTGTTTTGTTTTGTTTCTTCTGGAATAGTATTCTTGCCCCCTCCCATCCTCATTCACACTTGAGGATGATGACAGTGACCCACTCCCACAACAACAGTGCTTCATGAGTGTCACCCACCAGTGTGGAGGGGCTGATCAGAGAAGGGCACGAAGGCCCAGCAAGTGATTCCAATATACCCTGGTGGGTGAGAGGCCTGTGGGAGGCCAGCCTCTACCCCAGGAGATGACCATCCTGAAGCCATGAGAAATTGGTTACACACAGTGTGGGAATTCTGATCGGAGGAGCAGATATGCTGGTGGAGTAGTTTGGGTTAAGGAGAGAAGGAAACAGCTTTAGAGAGTCCCTAAGGTCAGGCGGTTGTCTCTGGCTGGCCCAGGGACAGCATCTTCCCCAGTGGGTGGCTGACCTAATGCAAAGGAACAGGGCACCCTGACTGTGCCCCAAAGTCCTAGAGTCAAATCCATTGCCACAAGGGGCCATGCCAATCCAAGGCACTGAGAGCTACTACAGGTGAACTGAAGGGCAGTGTGGCTCTTCTAGCATCTGCCAAACCTTTGTGCAGCTATGAACCATCATGGGTTGGAGGTCCTCAGATTCAGAGAGTCAGATGATCTTCTTGAGTATCTGACCTTCCAGCAGCAATCCTGGCTGCCCTGTGGGGGCTGAGAGCACCATAGCTGGGCCCAGGTAGGAGTCAATGTCAGCTACTGTATGCCAAATTCTAACCTCTGGCCCAAGACTGGGCCTAGTTCCCAGAGGCTTGTCAGAAGCCATCCAAGAGAGAACTTTTACTTGCTACAACTCTCACACTCCTCAGGTATGAGAGTTGGCTGGTCACCTTTAGCTGATTTGAACTGTTTAAAACCAGGATGCCCCAGGAAGGATGAAGGGTAGTGCACAGGTGGCAGGTGGGAAAGGGAACCTGTGCCCCACAGGCAAGGGCCTAGTCGGGAGAGGACTGAGTACTGCAAGGTTCTCTGCCCCATTCTCAAGGTCTCCCCTTGAGAATGTATCCTCATGGATACCCTGCCTCCACTTCTGAGAATGCACTCTTGCAACAAAGAGGCTGTTCCCAAACCAATCAGCCTGACACACATAGCGAGCCCAAAGGCATCGGCACTGCCCCAAATAGGTCAGTCAGTGGGTACATTAGGGAATGCACGCTTTGTGCTAGCTGTTGTACTGAGCCCCGAGAATCCAGCAGTGCCTCACACAGGAGACGGGAAGCCCAAAGAATGACACAATCTCTGGGCAGAGAACTATGTCTACTGCAGATCCAGGTAACTAGCAACCCCTAGCACACACAGGTCTACACTGTACTCACGTGACTAATGAGTGTGGGCTACATGAGAGATTTCCCATGATGATGACTGGCAGCTAATGCCAGGCACTTTCCTACCCCAGGCACTATGCCAATCACTATTTACATTATGTTTAACTCTACAGCATCCTGTGAGATGCACCTGATGGGAACCAAGTTAGAGAGGACCCACGGTTGCTAAGTGGTGAGTAGGCCTGTCAGATCCTAAGTCCGAGATCTTAACTACTGTGCTATGGAGTGTGCTCTGGGTTGAAGGCACATCTAAGTAAAAAAATAAACTTCACATACTTCCGTTATTCTTGGTTGAGGTTCAAAATGCTGTCCTTACAAGAACCATAGTCTTTCATGTTTTATACATATTCTGGTAAATAAAGATACCTACCCATTGGTTTTTCACTCCTACCTCTCTAGTCTCTAGATGAGAGTCAGGGCTAAATCCTTCAACCAACACCACTCAAGGTCCATGCCCTCCTGCGACCAGTGAGCATGCCTCCATGTGGCAGATGGATGAGGTGCTACCAACCTTCTTCCTCCTCCTCATGACTATGTGGCTGGACAACATCCAGCCTCCCTTGAGGGTCAGTGTGGCCCCATCATCATGTCAGTCCACTGAATGTGAAAGGAAGTGAGGTGCACTCCAAAGTCTTGGCCTCCCCCAATTTCTCCCATCAGATGCTTTTCCCTCCTTCCCATGGTGGGCTGCATGGCAAAGAAACCAAGCTCTGGTGGACAGGGGAGCTCTGAGATGGAAGGAGCCCAGGGCCTTGGGTCACTGAGAGAAAGATTGATTGCCAAGACAGTGCAGAGGAATAGACAGCAGATGTGTCAAGGCCACAGGATGCTGGGCCTGTTTGTTATGGTAGCTAGCCCACCCTAACTAATATAAATTCCCAAACCCTGTAGCATCAAAGAAAGAAAATACCTACCTGGATGTTTTCTTGAATCCGCTTTGGGTTGGTAGACTTGGGAATCACTATCAAATTCCTCTGGATCTGAAACCTGATCAGAATCTGCAGAGGAGAATTGACATCACACAGTGGTATTCTCATGAAGTCAAACCTAAGTCATTTCCCTAACAGCTTGAGCCTTACTATAGAGCAAGAGTCCACAAGTCTCCTTCCTGCTAAATCCTTGAGAAATCTCACTGGCATTTTCCAAACAGTTCTCTCGGTACGTCTGTAGTAACTGCCATTGGCCCAAGGAAAGGTCAAGGACCTGCTCACACCTTAATGGGATTTCCTTAACATGTGTCCAGTCTCCAGAGAAATCAGGGCAAGAACAAGCCATTGTAATAAAGGACTCTTCTGTTCCCTTTTGCACTAGCTTCCCATGCAGATGGTGGGGCAGAGGGGACTGCCTGTGAACTCCTCCTGAGTCCTGGCAGGGGAGGGGGGCAGGAGCGCAAGCTTGAATCAATGGGACTATGAGGCAACAATTCACTTTCCACACTGGGAAGTTCTGATGAGTCCTGGACTCATCCAGGTGAGCTAACCCTTTCCTAGAAACTGACAAGCCTTTTAATTCAGGAGGGAGAGGATGTGGGAAAGTAATTCCCAGGTGTGACAGCCCTCCCCAGTACCTGAGCACATGACTTGTTATAGTGATTTGCAATTCTCCGAATCGTGGGGTTATTCAGCAAGTCCGTTCCCTCCCTAGAGAGACACAGCGCAGAGGGTAAGCCAGCACAGATGTTTCTTTCTTTAAAATAAAACCTTTCCCCCAAATGAAAGGTTCAGTATTTTCTTATCACAATATACACTCACTGTTGGAAATTTGAAGGATGCAGAAAAGCACATCACCCCAAATACTTGTCTGGAGAAAATCACGGATAAAATTTTGGTGATATCTACATATCATCCCTTTTTCATGGCATTTTGAACTTCTTATCAAGAACCAGGTGGCAACAAAAACCACCATGCAGTGGGCTCTCCATGCTGTGGCAGGCCCAATGACATACAGACCCTCTAATGCCTCGGCTGTCTCCTATCAGACCTAGCAGAGGTCTCCAGCACTGCCAGGCAATCTTGTGGTGACGGTGAGAATCTCAGAAAAGTACATCTCCAATACCATGAAAAGGTGGACACTGAACACATGAAAACTTCACTACAAGAACTTTTGAAAGACTATGATACATCTGTGGGAACCATTTTTTCAAGAGCCATTTATTATGATTTATTAAGTAGTTACTGTGCTTCAAGCACTGGGCTAGTTAGAGTCCTCAAAGGGTCCCTAAGGTAGCAAATATGGCCCAATTTACTTTCCAAAGACCCATGTTGTATCCCCTCCTTTACTGGCTCTCCCACTCATCCATCAGAGGCCCTTCTATCCCAAAGTTCAGCTTTGATATATGACCAGCCTTCCAGATATTCCTTGGCTGCTACCAAGTTCAAATACATATGCCCCATTTCATATGGAAAACATGCAAGTGATAAAATTCAAATAATTTCAGCCTGTCCAGGATCCTAATATGATCTAGGCACTGAGCTAAGTTCTGAGAGCAGAAGAATGAATAAGATACAGTCCCTGCATTCAGGGGACTTTACCCAGTGGGACAAAGTAAGAATAAAATAGTGACAAGATGGGGTGGCATGGACCGTGTGAAGGAGGGCTTCCTGGAGGAGGTATAATGCTGGATTGAACTTCATTTAGAAACAGGAGGGCACAAATTGAGAAAACATAGATTTGTGGGTAAAAAGATCAGTATAAGCAAAGGCACAGAGAGTAGAAACACCCTTTTCTATCCAAGGAACTACTGGTAGTTCCGTGTGGTTGATGCAGTAAAGTTCGGCAGCAAGGGGAGGGAGGAGGCTAGAGGCACCCAGAGACCAGGCCACCTGCAGCTCAGGGGCCAGCCAAGACCTGAAGAATTTTTGAGCAGGAAAGTGACATGATTATATGAAAACAGCTACTTCAGTACTCCTGAGCAGTACACTGGAATGGGATGGCTCTGGGAAGGAGCTAAGGTGCTCCTCATAGAACCTGAGGGAATCCTTGCTTCACCCAAGTAGAGATGGTGACAACAGAGATCAAAAGACATCTGAGTTCTCTTGGCACCATAATCAATAAGTCTTGGTGGGGGATTAGACCATGGGAATGGGAAAGATGATTTCCATAGTTCTGGCTTAGGTGGCTAAGTGGGTGGTGGTAGCTGATAAAGGGAGCACAGTACAAATTCAAGGCTAGGGGGAAGATAACACATGGAATTAACATTATCTAATGAGTAAGAGGTCTGTGAAAAGTCCCGGTAAAGAAGTCAGTAGCTGACTGATTTACTACTGGGGAGCTCAGCAAAAGGGGTCACTTGAGGCTGGTTATGTAAATTAAGAAGGGAAAAATGACTCTAGCTCCCAGTAACAGTTCCCTATCTCCAGCCCAGGGGCTTGGGAGGTGTGACTGCCCTTTGCGACCCCCCACATCCTGCCCATCCTTCTTGATGGGAGTCCTTCCATCAGATGAAAGGGGAGGGTGGTATCTATTGCTGCCAGGACTCCAAATAACACAGTCACTGACTCATCCTTACCTCGAGCCACCAAGAGGACGGTAAGCAGTCACAGACACATCTTTGGCTTTGCAAAAGCGAATCAAATTCTTCTGAGTAAGATATGGATGGCACTCAATCTATAAACAGAATCACAGCATACCACACAATTCAGATAACAGCATGCTAAGAAAGTTCTAAAAGACAGACCGACACTGGTGTCTTGGTTACCGTTGATTAGCTGCAGGCCCCAGGCCAAGGCCTAAATATCCTCATCTGCGTGTGAGCAGGCTGGGCCATGCCAGGGCCATGATGCCAGGTCCTGTAGAGGCCTATAAGTCTGCAGCCTCATAAACACCCACTTGCTGTAGTGTCACCTGCTTGGTGTGGCCTTCCTCAGTCACTCAGAGAAAAGCTGCTTCATTCTGCGGCTCCTACCTCTCTCCTGTCCTTTATTTTTATCTATAGTATCTACAATTATCTGACACACCCTATATATTTCATTATTTTTGTCTGTTGTCACCAGGATTTAAGTTACATGAAAATAAGGATTTTTGTCTCAACTGGTTTCGTTCATGGGTGTACCCCAACACTGAGAGCAATGGAGACATAGAGAAGGTGCTCAGCAAATATTTGTTGAATAAATAAATGAAATAAAGGCATTACATATGACAAATACACACTAGAGGTGATGCTGGTGAACATTTTGAGAAACTTGAGAGCAGGGTTGTAGTCCCTTCCATATGCTCTGAATTCTCCTGGCCATTCCAGATTATAAGTGGACTTAAAATAAGTGTTTGTTCAGATGGAATTAGAAAGAACTATGCCTGTCCTCTCAGGATCGTGTGTGTCCAGCAAGGTAAGCTTTTGGGAAAACTTAGAAAAGGTGGCCTTCTAGAACTTTCTGGTATTGTGCTCCTGGTTGCTCACAACCCTGACAAGGCAACAACCATTCTTAGGTATTTAAAATGCTGCTCAAGAAAAAATCCTGACTCAAAACAGAAGCTGACATGCATATAAGTAGATTGTGTGCACGTGAGGTCTTAGAAAAGGCTGCACTGTCTTAGAAATCAGGTAGGTGGCTGCTCTTTGTGGTGGGAACTAGCACAGGACATAGTTTACAGAAGGCTGAGGATCACGTTTCTTGTTCTGGGTGCTGAACACTGGAATATGTTCACTAGTGAACACTCCTGGAGCTATACTCTTTATGACTCACACACCTTCTTTATGTATGTTATATATCACATTTTTGAAGAAAAAAGCTAATTTATTGAGAAAAAGGAAAGAAAAAGAAGAAAGTGATACTCTATTCTTAATTTTTGCAAACTGGAAGCTACTAAGTGCCCACCCAGGGGCCAACACCAGTAAAATGGGCAAGTTCACCATCTGCACAGTGGAATTCTACACAGAAATGAGAAGGAAAACTGTACTCCCACGTGCACGTGGAGGGAACTGACAAACAACGCTGTGGGCAAGAACCCTGACACGAGAACTGATGGCATGTTACTATCTCAACTATAAATGTCAATGTCACTGGACATCAGAACAGTGGCTACCCCTGCAGGACAGGGATACAGAGTGGAAAGGAGAAGCAGTGTAGAGTGCTGGGATACTGGATGCAGGTTGGGGAGCTATGCTCAGTTTAAAAAATGTACCAAGCTCCACTCACAGGTGTGCGCGTTTCTGTCTATGTAAATGAAAAGTTTAAGAAAATAAAGTGCGGCAAAAACGCTCTTTGGACATTCAAAGCCAGTCAGTCAGATTAGCAAACACAATAGTCCTTTGCTCCCAAGTCTTTTCTCTGCATTAAGAAAAAAATATGTACCTTTACCTCTGCAGCCTGAGGGGCTGGGCTGAAGATATTGGGTCATCTGTCCCTTTCTTGCTGCCAGTCTGCAAGGGCCAGGAGAGGCAGTGGGAAGGGTTGCTTTCCTCTGATGAGGAGGGACCTGCCAGGACCTCCCCTTCTGAATACATCCGAGGATATGCCTATAGGTGTGCATAGAGAATCAAGCTCCAGATCACACCCTACAGGTCAATGGCGCTGTCCAATCATATAAGGCTTTAAGATAGCCGCTTGCCTGCTCACCCTGTGACATTGCCTAACTGCTAACTTAAGTTATAATTTTGACAAACATGGGAGAAAAACACCTCCTTTGTGATTCATGCATTCTGCCATTTCCAGCATGGCCAAACAGAGGTAACAGCTGGGCAGCCAACTACCCTACTTAAGCCCTCCCCATCCTCCTACCAGCTCACCTGGTTAGTTATTGGCTTGAACTTCAAATCAGGCTTATTCAAAAGTCTCTCAAGCTGTTCATGATTGAAGTTTGACACACCAATGTCCTTCACGAGTCCTTTAATCACCAAGTCTTCCATGGCCTAAAAGAACAAAGGACTTTGCTGTGTGTACAAGCTCTGTCTATTTTTCTGATAAATGCCCTCTCTCACCAACTCTGCATGGACTTCTAAAACTGGATCCACCCCAAACTGTAAAATATTTTACTTGAAACTTCAAAACCACTGTTGAATGTAAGGTCTAGTCCCAGTTCCATCTTTTAATACCTTTATTTTATGTATGTATGTATGTATGTATGTATGTGGTGCTAAGGATCAAACCCCGTGCCTCACATGTGTGAGGCAGGTGCTCTACCATTGAGCTACAACCCCAGTCCCCAGTTCCATCTCTTAATAGCAGGAGACACTGGGAAAATTACATGACCTTGATAAGCCTAAACTTCCTCAGTCACAAAATGAGGACAATATTGTCTACACATATCAGAGAGTTGTTTCAAGGCTACATGAAATGATGTACAAAAAAGCATTTAGATAATGCTGGCATTGAGCAAACCCAGCACATTTTAAGTACTAATATTTCTATTACCTTCAATAATTGTTGATCTGGTGTTTGGCAATGTGGGCCCTGTTGGTTTCATTTTTCCACTTTCCTTTTCACCTATGTGACCATCTTTTTAAAGGACAATGGTGCACCGTCACTCTCCTATTCCACCTTAGCCATTTAGCATTTTAAAGAACTCACGAGCAGAGCAACCTGAAGCCAAGAGCTGCCACTGACCACAAGCCAGCCTGCCTCTTTCTTCAGAAGTGCACGGCCTTCCTGTCAGTGTGGATGTCAGGAGTAAGTCCTACCAGGTCACGAAGACAGTGACTGATGAGCTTAAGTGCACCATTGCTGCTGTGCTGCTGCAAACACCAGAACCTTGCTTGTGCTACATGAAAAACCTAGAGTTTACCCCAGATCTTTAAAGAGAGGCACCCCAATGTGACAGGAAGGACAGGAACCCCTGGGCACTGCTCCTGACACCTGAGACACATGGTAGCACGTCTCCACATTCCACTTATTCATAAGAGGAGAGGACAGTGGTGCTCAGCCCAGTGGTGTCCTGTCATTTCCCTCATGTCTCTAACTGGGTGACCTCAGGCTCCCTCCTGGCTTCACCTTGCAGCCTCATACTAGTGGCTCCAGATGTCATCTCCTGAATTTAAGCTCTGCCCTGAATTCAGCAAGTGCATTTTCTTCCTGGGCTTCAAACATGACCAGGCTCTGTCCCGCACTGGGCCAGCTCTGCTAGAGCCCTCAGGGAATCTTACTAGGCTCTCCCTGCACCAGCCTGCCAGTTGGCATCCACACACTCAAATCCACCACTTCCCTGGTTTCCCTCACCACTGTCTTGGGCCCTCACGACCTGTCTGTCATCTGGACCCTGAAAACAGGCTTGGTACTTGTTGACTCTCTCTCCATTCGATTCTCCCACCTCCCCATTGTGAGCTGTACCATGCTTCCAACATTAGAGTCCTAAAATGCTTAAAAGAGAACTAAAAGGAACTATAACGTACTACTAGTGGCTATCATGGTGTAACAGGAACATGGAGTTTTGAATTTTATTTTTTATATTCTTCTGTATTTTCTGAAACAAATGTGTGATAATTCTAATTAAAAATAAGTAAACTTTGGGTGGGAACAAAGGAGGTCTGTATTAATTATTCCTAAAATAATATTTCAGAGAGACATGCCACCATAAGCGAAAGGTAATAAGAAAGTCATGTGAGGTCTCCGAGTTCTTCAGGTCTTCTTTCCTAATTTACACTGCAAACACTGTGTCTCAAGTAGACAACTCAGGGTCTGAACATAAGGTGTTCAAGTCTCATACCCATTCCTATCTGGAGGTGTATCACCAGGGATGATGTTGCCAGAGGAGGTGTCTCAGCTTACCTCCCATGTTTCCAAGAAGCTTGTATCACTAGGTATAACTACACCGCTGAGATCCAAAGGGACATCTTCTTCTCCAGGCTGTGAGAACCAGAAGAAAGGAGCTTACTGGGGCTTGTGATCCTCCCTGATTAGAAACTAGGGGGACAGGGAATCCAGATATTGGGAAGAGCTCTGTTGTGAGATATCCATCTAAGCCTTGGCCTTGTCCTAAGCAGTACTAGCCTAGCTTGACCACTTCTGTTCTGTAGGCCTCAGCCTCCACTTTGATGAAATCAAGGATTGTGAAGACTGAGTGGTCAGCAAAGTCTATGCCAGCCTTGACTTTGTTCACTGTTCACTTCTCACAAGGTAAGAAATAAAGATCTTGGTTCCCTGCTTATTGTTAAAAGTTTAATAACTTCAGGCTAGGAATGGGGTATTAATGGGGATCTCCTTCAAGTCTTAAGAGCAAGTCTTAAGTCTTCTTGTGACTCCATTACTAGGATCTTCCCTTTTCTTAGAACCACCATCACAATGATAGATAATGAAGTGAGAATCCAAAGGTTACAGGAAGTGAAGGGTAGAGAAAGATACCCTAAAGTCTCGAAATCTAGAGTTACCCTTAGAGCAACTGTAGATATTGCTTTGTTATCTGACCCTTGTTCATTTACAATCCTACCTCACTAACATTGTCACAGGGCAAGTGGCAGAAAATACATATCCATTTATTAATCCTTAAGCATTAAAAATTTTGAAAGTTCTGGCCTGATCCATATTTTAGAGGCATTTTCTGTGTTAATGAGAAGTAATTGTTTACTTCGCAGCTATCTCCCATCTTGATATTTTTTTAAACATCCACATAAGTCTAACCACTTACTGAGCAGTACCTGGAAGCCCATTGGCCAGTGCATCAGGTACAGATCCAAGTAATCCAGCTTCAAGGCCTTCAGACTCTTTTTGCATGCCATTTTCACCAAGGACGGCTCATGATAGGTGCACCACAGCTACAGGGAGAAGGGAGACCACAGTCACACAGCTGCCATCCAGAGCCAACACAGCATCCGCTCCATATTCCTACAGAGCTACTCTCTGGGAGACCAAAACATTCAAGTTGAGATGACAACAAATACAACAGGGGAGGTTCTCAGGAGAGGACAGTGGCAGCACCCTTAGCAAAATTCCCCAGGAGTCTACACACAGGGCTTTGCTACCTCCCTCCTACTCAGGGGACATTCAGGACACCAGAAGACATTTGGTGGGAGGGCTGATGGTTATTTGGATTGACTGAAACCAATACAAGAAAAAGAAAACCATGCTGTTTGGCAGAAAAGATAGGAGTAACAATCAAACGTTATGTTTCCAATACAAATTGGCTTTATGATCAAGGTTCTCCGTTACTAAGGTAGATAATCATATGGGTTAAACCAGATGAGTTAACATATGTTGCCTTATATTAATGTAGATATTTCCATCTCACTTCTAGGAAGTAGGAAAATTTATGATTGCTTTTCTCCTCATTACTTTTCCTCCTATATTTTTATTAATTGTGACAGAAGCTGACCTGAAGGCTCTGTCATAGCAAGTGAAAAAAAAAATTCATAAGATAAAGTAAAAGAAAGGAGATTAAATGAAATCAAATGACAAGTATAGTGTATTAACAGAAATTGGGGGACAGACAAAAATAAAATGCAAACACACCACACTGTTAACAGTAGTTGCTTCTAGGCAGTAAGTATATTGACAGAATTACATTTTTTATGACTTTTTGAAATCCCCAAGTTCCTGCTGCTGGCTGTGATCCACTCAGAAGTAACCCATCGTCAGACTACAGGGCAAGACTCAGAAATCCCATTACCCATCTCACTACCTTGATATTCAAAAGTCTCCTTCCTTGGCCAAGCATACACCAAGGCTTCTCCTTTAGCCTCTGCCCAGCTAAGACAGCAACAATGAATGATAAAACTTAACTGTATTTCAGTAAAACAGAAAGGCAAACTCCCTATAGAGAGTTCCCTAAATCTCAGAATTATGGGAGTTTAGATTTGGAATTCATTCAGAAGAATGAACAACTTAATATTCACACTTCCTGAATGACAGCTAGAACTTGGACCCATGACTTCTGGTCTCCTGGTTTTAACATTTGCTTCAAGGTAAAAAAAAAAGGAATTCATTAATTCTGTACTACTTAGTCTACCTCCTATACTGTTTAGAAGGCTTACCTTTTTAAATATCCTTCACACTCATTCCCCTCCTCTGCATCCTTCTCTCGCTGAAGTTTAGGCCTTCATCACTTACCACCTACACTGCTCTTTACTGGTCTCTTGCCTGTCTCAAATGCGTGCTCCTTTCAGCTTCTACAATATCCAACATACAACACAAATATCGCTTACCTATAATACACACTGCTTGACTTAAAGACCTCTTGGTTTTACTTTGTCTCCAGGAAAAAGTACAGGCTTCTTGAATAGCATACCAAAATCTTCACAGCCTGGCCCAGCCTCATTTCTCATCACCCTGCCACCTCTCACTGTGTAATCCACAAACACCAAGCTTCTTACAAATCCCTGCATCTGCATTCCCTGTGTCTATGTGCAATCTGCTCCCTTGGTTTGCAATTCCATCCCAAATCTTCTTTACCTGCACTACTCCCAGAGCTACTTATTCAGCAGATCTGCTGGGGAACTTGGAATCTGCATTTTTCCAATCACTCCAGGTAATTCTGAGCTTGGGAATTTCTGTGTAGACAGAGTTCATGAAGGTTGGAACTTTGTCCTACTCACCACTGGAGCCAAAGTGCCTATTACTCAATCAATTTTAATTTTAAGAATGCACCTAAATGAAATAACAATAATGGAAGGGAGATCAGTAGAGATCAGCAAGTGAATTATGAGGAGGGGAGGAAAAAGGAAGGTATTGAGAAATGATAATGTTCAAATTATGTAATATGCATGTATTAATATGGCATAGTGAATTATACTAATATGTATAATTATAAAATGCACAATAAAAAATAAAAATATATGTTAGCAAAAAAGATGGAGCAAGAGAACTTAATAATAATAAGTGAAAAAAAAGCAGGCTGTAGAATAATGTGTTTGGTGTAGTTCTGCTCCTGAAAAAGCAAACAAACCAATACCCTGCATATGAGCACATGCACTGCATGAGCCAGAGAAAGTGCAGAAGACTGTTCACATGAATCAGTCAGAAAGATGAAGACACAGAATTTGGAATGTAGCCAGGGAAGAGGAAAATTATTAACTCTGTTTTTAGACATCTTGGTATTGTGATAAATTATTATACAAGAAAAAAAGAATGTTTTACCAATTGGGGGATCTCTGCACTCCTACCTGAGTGATTAAATGCATAATATGAAGCAAAGAAAGCTACATACAATATAACTTAGCATGTTTATTAAACTGTGATACTTCTTGTTAGTTTTGGTTCAAGCAGAAAACAAAGCCATCTCTTCCCATCAGGAGACTGGTGAGTGCTCCAAGCAAGGCAAGTTCAGCTCTTCCATTGCCTAAGAGTACAGTGGCTGGGACTCCACTGTCCCTGCAGCTAAAAAGCCTACCTTACTGACAACAAACAGGTCCTCTCGTCTCACGACACCCTCCTTGATCTTGTGTCGAATTCCTGCTCCTATCTCATTCTCGTTGTGGTATAAGTAAGCGCAGTCAAAGTGCCGGTACCCCGCATCAATGGCCACCTTCACTGCCTCAGCAGCTTCTCCTGGAGAAGCCTGCAAAATCAGCAGAAAAGAAGTGTTCCATCAAAGTCAGAGAAATGCAACCTCCAGTTCTCTCTGTCCACCTGAGAATAGAGAAGCAAATGATACATACTTACATAAAGGCAATCTACCACACAAATGAGCATAGACCCAAATCCACATAAGTAGTCTGGATCCCACAGCAATAGAAAAATTCAGAAAAGAAGGCAGTTACTGCAAATTGAGCTCTATCAAGGCAAGGGACTGGAACTATGGGAAGATTGTGGGAGAAAGTTTACAGTCTCAGAAAACTGGGGATTCTTATATCCTCAGTTGAAGGGTAATTGACAAACATCCTCTGCACTTCAACTATAAAGTATAGCAGTATACTTCATTTAACAAGCAATAGATTCAGAGTGGCTGAAAGCTAGTAAATCAAACATCCATCTTAAGTTGAAAAGAGAAAATAAAAATAAAAATGTTGTTAATGAACTTGGAAACAAAGATGTAATAGAGAAGACCAGAAAAGCTAGAAATCAGTTATTTGAAAAACCTTAACATGATAGACAAAACTTCTGGCAAGATTAGTCAAAATAACATCAATTTTAAAAAATAAAATGACATGAATGAAAAGCAGGATATGAATATAAAATAGATTTAAAAGAACATATGCCAACAATTTGGAAAAATGACAGCAAATAGAAGAAACTCCAGAAAAATTTAACTCAAAAAGAAATAAAATTTGAAAAGTTTTGTAATTATTAAAGAAATGAAGCCACTAGAAATAAAAGAAAACCACCATTTACAGAGTTCTAGAAAATTTCCAAGAAGAATAATCCCAATTTATCATGAAATCTTTCACATAACAGAAAAAAAAGAAATACTCTCAACTTGTTCTACTAAAAATAACAGTTTAATCCATCAAGGATGGCTACCAAATATCACACTCCCGGCTAGATGCTGAGAACTAGATGCTGAGAACCAATATGAACAAAGCATATCCTTGACCTTCAAAAGCTGATTGGCAGATGGGAGAAATAATTTAAACATTGAACTAGCAGGGGCTGAGTATTCTAAACCTGACTCAATCAATAACTCCCATGTGACTTCTCATATGAACATCTTTTTATCAAGGACTAAATTTATTTTTTAAGAGCACATTGGTAGTCAGTGCTGTCTTTCAAATCACAGGCAGGGATTACAAAGTTCAGGCAGGGAAAGGTCCAAACTGCTAGTACTATCAGCCACTAAGGGGGTTGTTTCTAGATAGGGAAATTGAAGTTCCAAAGTTTATTTTTAAAACCAAGTTGGCAATTCTAAACTTTCCTCATCTTTTCAATAGAGATAACCTTCCCGGTCTTCTAGTCTTCTGCCTTACACAAGCCTAACAGCCTCTCCTCTTGGCTTCCCCAAACATAACATCTTAAGGATTATTGACTTGGCCTGGATCTCACCTACCATTCTGAAATACCTAGCTGCACTCGCCATTTTCAGATAAGTGTTTGCCAAAATATCCCATCATTTACACAAAGGGGTAATTCTACATTACAAAAATAAACCAGACTCAGAAAGACAATTATTGAATATTTTCTCTCAAACGAGGAAGGAATGGAGGGAGGGGAG